ATTCATTCATTCATTCATTCATTCATTCATTCATTCATTCATTCATTTGTTCAATTATTGACTGATTGATTGACTGATTGATTGCCAGGTCCTGGATGACTGACAATACAGCAGCATGTCTCTTTTCAAGATGTGGTAACCACCAGGGAGAAAATAAAACATCTACATTACAAAACTTATTGAACTATATAAAACATTTTATTTAGCTGGGAGATTTATTAGGACAATCCCTAATAAATCTCCCAGCAGTCGACGAGGCCTTAATTTAATTACAGAGATATTTTATTTTTATTTTATTGAGCATCTTTAACGCATACCTAAAAAGACACAACCTGACAGAAATCATTGTAGATTGCTGGGGCTACAATCAGACTATACGACAGATGTGAAGACGTTACTGGCTTTCAAAAAAAAACTGTGCTGTTAATCATCAAACAGTTTAATGTCATGAAGTTTGGTTGAAAGTTATACATTTCTCTTAATTGCAGTTATAAAGTATGTTTCTCTGGAGCTATTATGTCATCAGTGGAGGGAGTTTGATTCATAATCTGATAACTGAATTAACCTGCGTCCCTCTATTCTCATGTGCAGAGTTGGCTGATTCAAGGAAGACTCGCACGATCTACATGGAATTTTATTGAAAATAAATTATTTAAAATTATTTAGAGCCTGCTGCATGTTTGTGCAGCACACAGCTGCAGAAAAAGCTTCCTCCTGCAGCTGAGCAGCTGTTCTCCACGCAGAGCGGAGAAGTGGGCGTGGCCAAGAACGCTTGCAGGTGGCTGAGAGCAGCCGAGGCAGAGAACTGGCATCATGACATTCTTTTAGAGCGTTTAAAGTTGAGAAACATTGTTTACAATATTGCAGTAGTGCAGGAAGGGTTATATATATATATGTATGTATGTATGGTTCATTATAATATGTTCATTGCAATTGCTTCTGGATGTTAAATAGTATAACATTCCATATAATTTTATTACAAACTAATCTTGTTCTTGTAGCGTTGGAATGAGACACATCAGGCCAACAGCTTGTTGTGGCTTTACAGTGCAGGAGTGAACAGGGAGAAGGGAGGCCTCCAAGATGGATGCTTTTTGTGCTGTCCTGGTGTGAAGCACTCTATGCTGCTCTCTCTTTAGATTTGCTTCCTAAAGGTCTTGAAGATGCATGTTATGAATATTTCACTAAACTGCATTCTCAAGTTATCAATAATAAAATGCCATATTCCTTAAAATATTCTAAAAATACAGCTGGACTCTGCGTTTTCCTCTGTACATTAAAAATTCATACGCACCTAGCAAAAAGCTAAATCATCTACTACGCCCACATGTGGATCAGACTGCTGCAATGTGTGCAGGTGTTCGCACCTTTAGGGGTTTTGTTTGCGCGTGTGAGCATGTTTTTGTGTTTGTTTTGCTTTCTGCAAAACGTAGACATCTGAAGCGTACAGTATTTTTGGCAGTGCACACAAGGCTTTTTTGGAAACTTGAACAGTGCCAAGTGAAGAGAAGTGATTCAAATCGCCGACCCTATGAATCAGCACAGATTTGTACTACAGCATGCACACACTGCAAACAGTTCACACATCTCATGAGCAGCCTCCAGTACTACTGATATCAGTCAGATGCATGTGGACACAAATGGACTGTGTTTGACCTAAACAGATTTTATTTCCCCCACTCACCGAGGTGAGATGTCACAGCCCTGTTGCATGAAGGCTCCTAGAGAAAACCACAGCGAGTTGAAGATGCCAAATTCATTGGGAGGTTGGTCGGTGGGGCCCTGCTCTGTGGCTCCATCCTCTGGTTCCTCTGCATGCCACTCATATGGACTGAAGCGACTCACCTGGCAGAGGGCATAAAGAAACGAGATCAGATCATTTGGAAGATCACCAGGAAAAAAGCAAAGGAAGCAGATTTCAATATTTAAACTTATTTACAGATTAGTTTTATACCAACATTTATGTTTTCATTCTGAGCCGTGATGGTCACTTCATGTGGTGATACAGACAGCTCAGATCTATTCATGGAAAATTAATTGATACTCAGGTGTATAGACAAAAGCAGAATGAAACAAACACAGAAGGGACTGTTCAGTAAAATAAACCAACTATTATGAGGCAGACCACGTAGAACATCTTTCTATCTTAAAATATTTCATCCATGTTTGCATTTATCTTGTGTAAATGCCACAATCCTTAGTAACAAATGGTCAAATGCAGGACAAACGGACTGAAAGAAAGTGGCCAGGAGAACTAAGCATCTCTACTGAACAACTCAAAGGGCAGCAGACGCTGAAGAGCCAGAAGTAAATGGGTAGCTACAAAGTGACAACTGAATATAAACAAGAGGACCTGACCCATAATAATGACAACTGAAAGACACATATACTCAAAGAGGGAGCGAGTAAGTGAATGCAGGTGAGCTCATTGAGGAGTGAAAGACAGGCGGTGAATTGGAAAACTAGAAAGAAACGTTAGGCTGCAACATTTTGACGAGGTGTGTACTAAGACCACAGAGGGTTCCCTCTTACATGCGATGAAGCATGATTGGTCCATAATGGTTTTGAGAACGCGCAAAACTTTTGTAGTAAGTTTGTAGTGTGTTGTCTTCATTTTGGCAAAGTATCAAAATCCTGAGTTGTAGTGTGTTTGTTACATGAAACCTGTGTGCACCTGTGTGGCTTGGTCATTTAGGCTTCATACATGTGATCATGACTCTTGGGATACAACCAAGAGCAGTCATGATACCTGTGGTGATAGCAACAAGTGAGTGTGGCATAGTTCAAAACAGTTCTGTCGATGGGGGTGGGATTGGGGGTTATATACTGTATAGCATAGGGAGAGTGCAGGAGAACATCATAGGTACATGAAAACTTACTTGATAAATATAAAGAATGCTACAATTTCACGAGTGGCTTGACACTGAAGAAGTTTGTCAAATTAGCTGTGATTTAATCATTTAATGATTTAATTATGGTGTACCACAAGGCTCAGTTTTAGGACCCACTCTCTTTGCATTTTACATATGGTAAAGTAATGTAACATAACATTCCCAACGCATCCTTACATTTCTATGCTGACGATATAGTTTTGTATTGTCGTGATAAAACAGTTGTTAAGGTTTTCCTGCTTTTACAGTTTGTATTCAACATCACTCATACAAATATTTAGGGAGGTATATGCTAATTAAAATTTAGGAAAATGCAAAGCAAAGTCAGCAAACTTTTTTATTTTAGATATGGTGAAACTGTAAGAGGCCAGTCATAACAAAACTTTTGAATGTCTTTATGTATGTTACTGAATAGATCTGTACATTTTTCATGGAGACGTAAATCATTTCCAGCTTAAGTGCCAATGTTTAGTTTGCAGTACCCACTCACCAAAAACAGGACAACACTGACTCCGATATAAGCGAACACTATGCACATCCAGATCTCATAAGCCAGCGGGTCCAGAAAAGAGAAAACGCCTGGTTTAGACTTCTGGGGCTTCTTGATCATGATGGAAATTCCCAAAGACATGAAGGGCTTAGAGAAGTCAATCACTTCCTCCCTCACCAGAGTGATGGTCAGTGGGGCCACAGCAATTTCTGCTTTCTGCAAAGAAGAAGGGAGGGAGTTCAGTCCGGTCACATTATTATACGACTAATTCTTCAGAGACTAAATGAAAAAGTAGCAGGAGGTGGCCATGAATGCAGAGAAAGGAAGCACAGAGAAGATCCGGTGGTGCAGGAGAGAGAAGAAATGGAAGAGATAAAGGTTGGAAAAAAGAGGGCAAAGCAGAATGACAGAGGAGTAATTCATACAGAACATCGGCCTGAAAGTAACACATACAGAATATAAATTAGTCAGCAAGGTCTGACAAACGCCTGCATAGTACACACACACATGCGCGCGCACATACACAGAATTTGTGAAAAGTCGTAAATGTTCTTACAGCGCAGAATGTTTCTGAACATCTTCATAAATGTTTAGTTGTAAATGAACTAAGCTAAGCTTGAAATATTAGTGACACTCAAAACAGGTCTGGTCTAAATAAGTAAAACCAGTTAAATGAAAGAAACTATTCCGATAATTAAACTGATGTTTTTGCAAACACACTGAACTTTGTGATCACTGAGTTTTAATATTACGTTGAAAATCTGCTGCAAATATTGGTTATTGTAAATGAATCTACAGGGATTGAAACACCTTCTGCAGTTTGATCACCTGACAGCACTTCTTTTCTGAATGAATCTGCTCTATTACATCAGTATAAAAAGTACAGAACCATCTTATGTAAACACCTTATTTCACTGATTTAATAGGATATGTGTTTAATATACAGGATATGTTTAATAATATTAATATTTTGGATGTAGATGCACACAAACTGAATTGAATGAGCTGAACTCAAGAGATTCTGTGCTTTTTTTAGAGCATTTAGAGTTTAGAAACATTGTTTAGAATATTGCAAGAGTGTGGGAAGGGTTTAAAATACTTTAACATATTTATATGTAAATACTAAAATAAACTATTACTTGTACTACTATTCCTACTTCCCAGTTTTTCACTTATCACGGGTCTTCAGGGTACGGATCCCTCGGGTTAAACGAGGGACTACTGTATTGATGTAGTAACTGATGTAGTCAGTATTTTGCATATACTTCACTAATTATTCTCAAAGTAACAACGTGTATTGTCTTCTGGATGCCAGGACAGGAAATCTCACAGAGCTAAAGATACAAGTAGTGAGTTTGAATAGTTCCCCATATATATAAGTGAAAAGTAGCGTTCCTATATGAAGTGCATATTGAATGAGGCTCAGTGGGATTAACGTGTGTAAATAAAGGTTGAATGAATGTCACCAACTGCATCACACACTAAAGTTTTAAACAAACACCTTGCATCACCTGTTAGCACTCAAAGTATGAGTAGGGGATGATGCTCTGCTGTATCTGCATCGACTTTTAGAACAATACGTGGAATAGCCTTTTTATGTGTATGCTTAATCTGATTAGCTTTCGCAGCCATATTGAGTTAGATGTATATCCAAGGATCATTTTCTGCGAGGCTTGACGCTTTGGTTCAGTCCTTAAGAAGTGTGTTTTTAAAGGTTATAAACAATTAATATCTTACATGGTTTAGAAAGCTAATTAATTATTATTATAAACCTTTATTTAACCAGGTAAATCTCATTTAGACCACAGATCTCTTTTGTACAGGAGGCATGCATGTTTTTGGACTGTGGGAGGAAACAGGAGTACCCAGAGAAAACCTGGAGAGAACAGGCAAACTCCACCTAGAAAGGCCCCAAGTCCAGGGATTGAACCCAGGACCTTCCTGCTGTGAGACAATAGTTCTAATCAATAATCCAACATGCTGCTCTTAGTGAAATTAACTATTTTGATTGGCCTGATGAGCTTATAGCTGTCTGGCTGGCAGGAACACAGTGGGCTGTTGTCTGAAAGGAGCTTCACTATAAAAAACAACAGTTCATGAGCATACTATTAAAAAAAAAGCTTTTCTTTAGATTGCATGGTTATTTAGATATAATTTACTGGTTATTTAAAAACACAAATACAGTAGCAGCTAGCTGTAGAACCTCTGGTGCAGCCTGTTTTTAAGAGTGGAGCTGTTTTAAGAAGGCAGCCATCCGTTCAGGCCTTGGCCTTGCTCCGACTGTTAGTTCATCAGTCCAGTCAGAATGTATCCCTCTAAACTGTGGCCCAGTTATCGACAACTTCGAAGATTTTAATTGTTTACAACAGTTTTGTGCCCCCGTCCTTTTTT